AGTCTTCTCTCTCACAAATATGGGAGTGGATCTGTGGCAAACTTGGTGGACAGAGGTTAACACTGTTAGTATGTAAAACGCTTGGAAGTATCGATGGGCAAAGCCGTCCGGACTCACTTGGTGAAGGGACGAGCTCAGGACAGAGGACCCACACTCAGCATGGCGCGCACGGCGGGGTCGGAGCTTCAGTCCGCCGCGGCCTGAAGAGTTGCAGGCCCGTCCCGTGCGCACTCCTTAGTCTCCCCGACTCTCTGTCCCCTTCTGAAGCTTTAGAAACCCCACCGAGATGCTACGTAAATGCCAGTAAAGAGGTGATGGTGGCTGGATGTGGACGTTTGGCTCCGGGCGTGGCGCTGAGGCTACAGACTCCTGTCTTGCAGCAGCAGCGACAGGAGTTGATTACGTTCTGAAGGCCACAAGTCAGCCTGTTGACAGGGTCGCGCCCCCTCTCTTGTTCCGGGGAAGAATCCCTCGTTGCCTCTTCCTGGTGCCCTGGCAGTCCTTGCCATCCCTTGGCTTGGAGCTACTTCACTTTGGTTTTACCTTCATCTTCACGAGGCTTCTCTCCTACATTCTCTCTCTCCCCGCGTGTGTCTTCTTCGTGTTTCCCCTCATAAAGACACCAGTCATTGGATACGGGGCTTGCTCTGATCCAGTGTGACCTCATCTTGACTTGATTACGTTTGCAGACTATACACATAAGGTTACATTTCCTAGGGTCTGGGTGAGCATGAATTTTGGGAGACACTGTTCAACCCGGTACAGTCCATCTTCTGTCTCCTGCCTTCCCCAGTTTCTGTGTCCCTCCCACATACAAAATAAAGTCATCCCTTCCCAGCCTCTCCAAGTCTTAGCATATTCCATCTGACTCCAAAATCTCTTCTGAACATCGTCAACTCAAAGTTCCAAATCTCATCATTTGAGTGATCTAACTCGGGTAGAGGTGAGACTGGGTATGCTCCCCGGTGGGGCAGAATTCCTCTTTCTTCAGTGAACTTGTTAAACTAGAAAACAAACCATCTCCTCCTGTGACTCATTGGTGGAACAGGCATAGGATAGACATTCCCATTTCAAAAGGGAGAAGTTGGAAGATAAAAGGGAGGCATGGGTCCCAAGCAAGTGTGCAGCCCAGCCGGGCAGATGACCTAAGGTTTCAAGGTCTGGGAATAGTCCTCGGTGTCTCCACGCTCTGTGTCCTGGTCCCTGGGGCGGCCCCTTCCTCCTGCCCCTCGACCATGCCTTCAGGATCCTTCCCTCGTCTTGAAGGGTAGCACGTTTACAGCCATGGAATCCTGTGCTCGCTCTGTAGGCCTGTTTCCTGCCCGTGTGTTGGCACGTGTGTGTTGACAAATGAGCACTTACAGAAACAGCTAGGGTTCAGGGCTGCTGGCGTGGGGGGCTTGCAGCCCAGGTGGCTGCCTTTCGGACCAGGGCTTCTGCTCCACAGCACATCTGTTGTCCGTAGGCTGCGAGATGCTTTGCGCACCAGCTTGTGAAACCCAGTAGGAGTCGCTCGCACAGTTTTTCTTTATTCTGGGTTTATATCTGGATGAATTCCCAAACAGGTGAGCTGGTAAATCATACATTATTGTGTACCTACTAATGCAAATTTTAGAAATCTGTCCCCTCCCGTGGAAGCAGGAATATATGTAATCCAGTATTTAGAAAATGACACTACTAGAATTTTTAACGTGACTTACGGTCAAGAGCTAAATGTTATTCTGAGGCACACAGTTGGACACTGCTTCCGCCTAAAATAACGGATCCCTTTTCTTTAAGGCAGAAAGGTGAACTTTACCTGAGATGCTGGTGTAGATGCACACTGGTGACCTTGTTTGGGGGACAGGTTGATGTCGGTGGGCTTTGAGGTTGGAGCACCAGTAGGATTTTTTTTCATAGGCTTGCAACAGCAGTCAGAGCACTTACTTTAAATTATTTCGTTGTTGGTTGTGACTGTATGTTTAATGAACTTCCCGGTTGCTCTGGGGTCTTGAGTAGTTGATCATTGTGGAACACTTAGTTAATATCTAATACTGCTTTTCCCAAAGATTAAGCTACAGTAGGGGGGATCTGGTTTCTGTAAACTTGGTTAGTCTAGAACAATGTAAATTTTTGAGTAATTTTATCTATATATATAAGCTCTTAAACATCTAGTAGGATGATTAAATCAAAGACTGTATTAGGAGGATTTGCCAGATTATATGGCTGATAATTGTGCTGCCTTCAGATAGTTTGAGGGATAGATCTGTTGTTTGGATATTTCCTACTGGTATTTTTTTTTCTTTACCTTCCAGTTTCCTAGATAGACTACCTCACAGACTATTCCCCTCTGTGTATTTCCACCATAGTACCACACCGTGGCGCTGTTGTGCTTTGGCTGAATATTTACAAACCCCTCTTTTCCTGTTGCTGTCAAATCTCTTATTTTGTGGAATGGATAAAATGCTCTCAAAAGTATATGAAAACACTCATATTAGATACTTTTTTAGCTGTACATAATCAGTTTGTGATTGCTTTCAGTGATTGTGCTAGATTGCTTTTTATGTTAATCAGTTCGTTTTTTATTAGCATGCATATTTAGATTTTTTTTCCTTGATTGCCCCATCTTATTTAGTTAAAAAATCAGAAGACTTTTTGAAGGTTATGAAGAAACCAACAAACAAAATGACACTCTAGATGACAACAGGCATATATTTTTAAATACGACTTTTTGGGTAGGGTTCCATTAAAACTGCAGTTCTGCTCAAAATGTGCAGTGCCATCTTCCAAATCCAAGGTAGCTTTTCTCCCCATTGTTATTGTTCTGTGCCAGGATCTGTTGAAGAGGAAACAGGTGATGATTTATGCAGATAGCAATGCTCCCAGGATTTAAAATCTCCAGGTTTACTCTTGTCACTTTTGCAAGCCTGCTGTCTTCGGTGTGTTATTTCTCAAGCCAGCATGTATTAGTTCTGCTTGCTTTTTGACAAGACCGTTTTTATTCAGGGGCTTAAGGAAGGTGTCAGAGAGTAAGGGGTCCATGGCCTGAAGGAGAACCTCCTACCCCAGGACTCCCAGATCAGTTTACTATTTCAGTGCTTTGCATGGAATGACTTAGTAGCTTTGCTGGGCTACTTTTAGGAAGTAATAGTCTTTTAACAATATGGATAGATAGAAACAGTAAATACTAGTTGGGTTCATAAAATGTGTTGAGATGTATTCTTCTCTCTTGAGAAGAATACAGTGCCAGGGAGTAGACAGATGAATTAAATGAGTCTGATGAACTTGAAAATAAATGAGAATGTTTGTCTTGATCTGTAAAGGACCACCTTTCACTCATTGTAGGGTCATCAGAAATACTTCCTGGCTAAACAAGAGACTCTTGACTCTGTTGAAGTGGAACTGGTAGGGGAGTCATAAACAGTCGTGTGGAAGAACTGGCTTTAATATGTTCTACCTGTGACAGAACTATGGGAGTGGTGGTTGGTTCCTGTAGGGGGACTGTAAGCCCCTGTGAGGACAGGTCTGTTCTGCTCATTGTCTGTCCCCGGCATCCAGCACTTGGGTGTTTTCAGAGTGAGTGATCCTCATAGGAGCCCTAACCGTTGAATCCTCGCAGGGTGAGATAGCGATAAAATGCCAGTAAAACGTTCAGTAGAGGGATTTGACATCTTTTTTCCCCAGACAAGCTTCTAATGCCCATAGAGAGTATGGTGGTGGTGGGGTCTGTTGCTTCAGGAGTGGTAGTCAGCCAGTTGGGCACGTCAGATTTTAGAGTTGGTATTTTGGAAATGGGAATTGGAGTTACAGTAGATACGCTATGTTAACACGATCTTCAGAGGGACTGCCTTAAAGAGGAGGCAGTATTTCTGCAAAATAATGAAGTCATGAATGAAGGACATAGGACAGTAGGGCATTGGGAAGTAACCAGATAGTGGTTAAGTTCATTTATTCCTATAATAAGTGTTTGTGGTTCATCTCCCTTGGGCCAGGCTCTCTGGTGGCCCAGCTAGGCTGTCGGGGTCTGTGTGAGGCCAGGAACCGGGACTGATGTTTGTAACCATTAGTTCTAGATACATGTTTGTGTAGTGTTTATACATAATCTGTATATTTGTACAGTAACTAAATGAATGATGATAGAAACAACCTGCTCAGTGGTAAAGATAAACAGCATAGTTAGATTTTGGAAAAACAGAATATGAAAGGCCTGTCTTGTATTTTTAATTTGCATCTTAGCTCTTGATTCTGAAAATTGGATTGAGCTACTTTATTTATTATATCTGTTTAGAATGCTCTGTAATATTTTGTGGAACAGAGGTGCTAGGGCTGGGTCTCAGTTTTTTTAAAATGAGCTTATTTCACGGGAACATCCCTGAAAAGACAAATTAAAATCTGTTTTTATTTGGAGATGTCAAATTAGGAAACATGTTGAGAGACCATCATTTTGAAGGAAATAAGCATATGTTAATTTTGCAAAGTGGTAACTTAGAATAAAAACAAAAAAACGATCCTCAACTTTGATCCTCAACTTTCTACCGGTTCTCAAAAACGTATAGTAAAGAAATTGCCTTTTTTTTTTTTTTTTTTTTTCTGTTCTGTAGCAAAGTAAAACTGTAAATCCCAGGGAGTATCTGTCTTAAGAGTGTTGTGGATTTCTGATACTCTGCCACATATAGGAAATTTCCTCCTAGTTACTTAGAATTTATACCACTTTTGGCTGCTAAATGGTATCAGATTTTCAGAAGGCATCTATTGATATAACCATATGTGGTTTTTTCCCTTAATTATTTAATAATCCACAGAATTTCACGATTTCTTTTAAACTATGCTTCTGTTTCTGGGCTAACCCCTGCTGGTCACTGAGTGTTATTTTAATTCCCAGCTTTGAATTGCTGACATTTTGTTTAGGACTATTGTGATTATATTAAAAAATAAGGTGGCCTGTAGCTTTCTGTCTGTGGTTTTTAACCGTTTCGGTAATAGAACAGCTATTTTTAATTCTGTATTTCCTCAATTGGCAGGTCGTGGTTCAATTCCAGAATTCTTTCATATTATGAAAAGAAAGTTCACCAACAAAGAATGGGAAACAATCAGAAGCTTTAAGGATGAATGGACTCAACTGGACATGTTTTACAGGAATTGGGTATAATTTCTTTCTAATTTTGAGAGTAAAAAGTCTAGGATAATCCATTAGCTTCACTAAAAATGGGAGCAAAAGTCCTTTGGTTACCCAGTAGTTCTTAGAGTGTTTGAAGTAGATGGGTGATTACTTGGGAACTTCATGATTTTTGTGTATCATTGTTACATCATGATCACATGTAGGAGGATTGAATGTATCTTCAGTGCTCAGTTAGCAGGTTGCTCTAAGGCTAAAACAAAACCTCTTATTTATCATTATTTATAAATAATATTTAGTGTTTCTGTTTTCAAAGGTACTCATACTCATGAGGCCTTACTTAACAAACACTAGTGTAATATTTACTACGTGCCAGGAGACGCATGCTCTCCATAGGGTAGTTCATGTAATTATCCTGACAGTGCTGTGAGGAAGGTCCTGTGGGTATCTCATGTTACTCCTGATGGAGTGGAGGCACCGGGGGATTGAATGACTAATCCTGAGATCACACATCTGGTTTGTCTCTGTCCTGCAGCAGGTATAAAAACAGTAATAACTTTTTTTGGCTTTTTGTTTTTTTAAGATTTTATTTGAGAGAGTGCGAGAGAGAGAGAGCATGAGCCCGGGGGCGGGGGGAGGGGGTAGAAGCAAACTCCCCACTGAGCCCGGGATTCTAGGATCATGACCTGAGCCAGAGGCAGATGTTCAGCCAACTGAGCCGGTGCCCCCCAGAATAGTAAGAATTTATAGCCCTAATGTAGCAGAGTTAAAACTCCAGTTGCACTGGGCCTGTAGAGTTTATGAAGAGTTTTGCCTGCTGAATGCTGTAATAGAAAATATCTCTGTATTTTAGGCACTGAAAGAAAGCTTCATAAAAGCCATTGGTGTTGGATTAGGCTTTGAATTGCAACGGCTTGAATTCGATATATCCCCATTAAATCTGGATATTGGCCAAGTTTATAAGGAAACACGTTTGTTCCTGGATGGGGAAGAAGAAAAAGAATGGGCATTTGAAGTAAGAAATTTACCACACTTGCTCTAACTATAAGAATCCCCATGTTGTGTGCGTGTCTGTGAGATGGGTTTGGGGTCTGGTCGCTGAGACAAGACGCAGCTGGAGCCCACTGTTGGTGCTCTGAGGGAGTCAGGGATACTGAGAGCATACGGCATTTAGGCTGACGCCTGAAAGCTAAGTCACAGTGAGTTCAGTAAAATGGGAAGGGAAGGTGGCCCTGTTCTTGTTGAACAGCCAGAGGCGGCCACTGTGTCTCCTGATGAGGGGTTTGACGGAGTCCAGGTTAGACGACCACGATCATGTGGCCATAATTGGCCAGGTTAAAGATTTGGTCTCTGTCTTTGGTCTCTGTCACTAGCAATTCGTGGTCACTAGAGAGAGAAACCCAACACAAACTCATTTAAGCCAAAAATACAGTATTATAGGCTATTAGAGTGATTCATGTCACCGGGCCTCGGAAATAGTTAGAATTCGAGGCTAGAAAACTCAGAAATTCTTTTTTTTTTAATTTTTTTTTTTT